CACGTTATGTACGAGAAGCTGCAAAAGACACATGTGCAAGTGGAATGTACAAAACGTGGTGGCATTAATTTTTAAGTAAATATAATGGGCGATATATTGCGTCACCAAAAATTATTGAGGTCATGTACATATATTGCGCGATAAGTCGATATATTGATTATTGCGACAGGCCTAATTATGTGGTTGTTAAAGTGTTGTGGGTGGTTGCTAAGATTTTCAGAGTGTTTTCTAGGGCATTATGTGGTTGTTAAGATGTTCCAGGCAGTTGCTAGGATGTGGCTAGGCAGTTGAGTGTTTTTTTAGGGCATTGTGTGATTGTTAAGGTGTTCTAGGTGGTTGCTAGGGTGTTGCTAAGCAATTGCTAATGATCTGGGTGGCTTGCAGGGCATTATGTGGTTGTTAAAGCATTCTTGACATTTGTTAGATAGTTGATAAGGTGTTCTGCGTGGTTAATGTGACATTATATGGTTTTCAGAGCATTCTGAGTGGTTGCTGTGGTGTTTCTAAGCAGTTGCTAACATATTCTGGGTGATTCCTAGGGCATTTTGTGGTTGTCACGGTATTCTGAATGGTTGATATGGTATTGTTAGGCAGTTGCTAATGTCCTGGGTGGTTTCTAAGGCATTATGTGGTTGTTAAGGTGTTCTGGGATGTTTATAGGGAATTATGTGGTTGTCAAGTGTTCTGGTGGTTACTAGAGTGTTGATGAAGTATGTGATTATATATTTTTGGTTGTCAAGGTATTATGGTTGTTATGGTGTTGCTAAGCAGTTGCTAATATTTAATATTTTCTGAGTGGTTTCTACGGTATCATGTGGTTGTTAAGGTGTTCTGGGTGGTTGCTAAGGTGTTGCTAAGCAGTTGCTAATGTTCTGGTGGTTTCTAAGGCATTATGCGGTTGTTGAGGTGGTCTGGGTGGTTGCTAAGGTGTTGCTAATGTTCTGTTGGTTTCTAAGGCATTATGCGGTTGTCTGGGTGGTTGCTAAGGTGTTGTGAGTGGTTTCTTGGAGCTTGATAAGCAGTTTTCCAGCCAATATAATAAATGTAAGGTGCCATGTGACATCTTTCATATACTTCTGACTGGTCACACATTAAAAATGGTGTTATCTTTGATAATGTTGCTGCATTTGCATTGGGTGCTATAAAGCTGTTCCCAGTGTTTGTATATTTATAGCATTGTTGTCATTACTTTTACCTTTATTTAACCAGACAAGTCAATTGAGACATTGATTTACTGTACAATGGCCTGGCGTTTTGATCTATGCATATGTTGCATGCTGTAGTTCTTTACTCCTTTAACACAAAGAGGAGTTTGTTGGTTTTGCAGCAGAGCCTTCATCAGTCAGCAGTGTTTCATATCACCGCTGTCTGATGACTGAAATCAGCTCTTGGTTTTGCGTTGGTCGTCTGTCAGCATGGACTAAACTGCACATGCATGTTTGATATATTAAAGACCAGCCGGTTGTCAGCCTGTGCTGGAGCATTATTATCTTCATTCCTTCTCTTTGTCTCCTCTTCCGTTCCTTCTTCTGGTCTCTTTACAAAGGGTGTGCCTGTTTTCTCCACAAGCCTTTCCCGGAGATCTGGCTGTTTTCCAGGTCACCTTACGCAGGAATCTGCTCTGTCGTATCCAGCTTCTCTCAGTTTCTCAATGCTGATCTAGTCATGTTTCAGACCGCTGAGCCGTCTCTGCTGTAACTTGCAGCGGTTTGCGGTGATGGCGTGCAAACAGGTTTTACAGGCTTATACAAGAAAGTTTACTCAAATTCCATAATAATCCCTCACAGCAAGTTTGTGTTTTCATTATGAAGTGCAAGTAGAGACAGCACACTCATGCAGATTCTGTTTGTCATGTAAATGATACCGGGGTGGGTTTTAATTAAAGTAAAACATGAGCTGAAGGAGGTTCAAAGCAGATGGTTACATTGTGTAATTCTCGCCCAGGGTTCAGCTTGTCCTAATTTGACACATATTGACTGAAATAAGGCAAACATTTCTGGAATGTTCCTGAAATGCTTCAAGACTGTGTGCCATCCTCTCGTCATGCTCAGCGTGTGCTTAGGAAAATCTGGAAATTTGTCCTGATAATTGTTTTATTTTGTTTTTTTTATAGAAAAAACAACACAATTGTTGCTCAGCAGGATGTTTCAGCTCACCTACACTCTAAAAAATGCTGGGTTGTTTCAACCCAACATCGGGTCAAATATGGACTAACCCAACTGTTGGGTTAAATTTTTACATTAAATTTTTAACCCAAAAGTTGGTTTAGTCCATATTTGACCCAAAGTTGGGTTGAAACAACCCAGCATTTTTTAGAGTGTAGATTTCAGTTCCACAGCCGCAATACACACTGATGTTATTAGTAGTGATTGCTAAAGGAAATATCATTGTGTGATTTGAACAAGCCTCTAATTATTAAATGTTGGTGCTTAAATCATGTCTTGAGGAAAGGTCATCAGATGCACGATGTTCAGATTTTCAAGTAGATGATAAAATGGGTGAACATATATACAATAATTGTATAAATGTATATATACAAAAAATAAAGGGGCATTACCATTCAAAAGTTTGGGGTCTGTAAGATTTTTTTATGTTTTTGAAATAAGTCTTACTCTCACCAAAGCTGCATTTATTTGATCAAAAATACAGTAAAATCAGTAATACTGTGAAATATTATTACAATTTAAAGTAACTGGTTTTAAAATGTAAAAATGTCAAATTCAGCATCATTACTCCAGTCTTCAGTGTCACATGATCTTCAGAAATCATTCTAATATACTGATTTGCTGCTCAAGAAACATTTCTGATTATTATCAATGTTAAAAATAGTTGTGCTGCTTCATGTTTTTGTGGAAACCGTGAAGCAGTTTTTTCAGGATTCTTTGATGAATAGAAAGTTCAAAAGAACAGCATTTATTTAAAATGGAATCTTTTGTGACATTATAAATGATTTTACTGTCACTTTTGAATTTATCAATTTAATGTATCCTTGTTGAATAAAAGTATTCATTTCATATATATGATGAAATATTAATGTGTTTTTCTGTTGTTTTTCCTTCTGTCCTTTTGTGAATGCAGGAGCAAACCAAAGGTGAGTCATTTCTGCATTAAATTCATGTGAACAAATGCATTATAATCACTTTATCATGAATAATATGCTTAACCGAAAAGGGTTTAACTTAGAGCTGCAGTCCATAACTTTGTGTTCAAAATTTACAAAATTTATATAATAAGTGAGTACACCATGAATACAAGCACGCCACGGAGGCAGCCATCAGCGTCGGCGCCATCTTACTAAGCCATCAGATGCGGCCGAAATTACAGCAACAGTGGTTAGATATACATATATGTAATTATTTGATCAAAATTAATGCTAGGGACAGTTTAGTAGTTGCTGGATATTGGTAGGGACATGTCCCGAGCGTCCCAACTAAATTCTACACCCTTGGGCTGCAGGCTCAGGAAAGTCGTACACGATGATGGGAACGGCAGAGCAGCCGGGTCTGATCCCACGCCTGTGCAGTTCTCTGTTCGAGCGCACCGTACAGGAGCAGAGGGAGGGCGAGTGCTTCACCGTGGAGGTGTCCTACATGGAGATCTACAACGAGAAGGTGCGAGACCTTCTAGATCCCAAAGGGTGAGTCTGTAGAGAGTCTAAATCCTGTTTACGTGCTGATCGTTGTCCAATGAAAGCCCGTATTCTGGTTCTTTTTCTGCTGTCAGTCATGAAAACCTTGAATATACTCAGATCAAACTTTGTGTACTGCAAATATTATTGATGTTCCTCTCAGGAGCCGGCAGGCGTTGAGGGTCCGGGAGCATAACGTGTTGGGGCCGTATGTAGATGGTCTGTCCCGCCTCGCTGTGACCAGCTACAAGGTTCTTCCAACACCTTCGAGAAGCTCTTCATGTCCAATGCTCTCGGTGCTGAAGCAGGATGATTGGGAATATCTTTGGTTTGGTTTTTCAGGACATCGAGTCTCTGATGTCAGAGGGGAATAAATCCCGCACTGTGGCGGCCACGAACATGAACGAGGAGAGCAGCCGCTCGCACGCCGTCTTCAACATCATTCTGACGCACACGCTCCGAGACCTGAAGACTGGGGTGAGATGCAGCTTGACCTCTTATAGTCTGGATAGTCATTTTTAATCAAAGGGGAAGTGTGTGATTTTTGAGCATATAACTAGATATTTATATTTTCTAAAGACAATGTGAATTTTTGCACCACTCACACTTTCTTCAGAAAATGGAAAAATATATTTTTTAAAAATAAATGTAATAAAAAATATATTTTATTCATTTTGATTTATTTTTGCAATTCATTTTGGTTTAACTAGTAATGTAGAAATTACACACGGCAGCTTATAGATATATATATATATATATATATATATGTGGGTCAAAGATGAAAAAGGGTTTAAGCATAAAAACTGTAAGTCTGTGCTGCTGTGAAGCCAGTTACATTCAGATCTGCCTCCATTCCAGTATGCAGTGCTCATTTTCACAATCCAATTAACAAATGATGATTAAAAAGTCCTGTCTTACCTTTGTTCCTCTTGTCATTTGGAAATGCATCACAATACAGAAGTAAATTCCGCTTCATGCTGACTTAATAGAAAAGGCAGGTCTGTTGACTGTATTGTTGTCATAGATTGAAATGTATTGTTTGTGTGGACGGGGTTGATTTCGAGTGAGTGGAGAGAAGGTGAGTAAACTCAGTCTGGTGGATCTGGCCGGCAGTGAGAGAGCTGATAAAACTGGAGCTGGAGGAGAAAGACTCAAAGAAGGCAGCAACATTAACAGGTCAAACACACACAAACACGCATGTTTGTTTATACCATGTTGGGGATTTTTGACTTTGCTCTTCCTAAATTTCTTAATTTGATTCATCGGCTAATATTTGGCCATTTTGACCCTGTCTGATAGTGTCAGATTGTTGTTTTTTTTTGTTTAAGCATTTATTTAAATTAATTTTTCTTTATTTATTTTAACTATTTAATTACATGACTCTCTCTTTTTATTTATTAAAAATTGTAAATATTTGTGTTTACAAATAATTGTAATTCATAATGCTTATTTGTGAATAAGCATTTATTTAAACTATTTTTTAATTTATTAATTTTAATTATTTATTGGAATCATTCATTGCTTTCTCAGTTATTTGTTTGTCTATAATTTTTTTCTAATAAATCTATTTTTATCAGTCATTTAATCATTTAATTTAATGTATTTATTTTTTTATTATTTTATTTATTTATTAATTTATTTGGTTTCACACAAACACACCATCATTTGCACACATTCAGGTGTAGTCTTGTGAATGTTTTTGTGTTCAGGTCCCTCACCACTCTTGGACTGGTGATCTCGGCGTTGGCGGAGCAGGGTGCAGGAAAAAACAAGAGTAAATTTGTTCCTTACAGAGACTCAGTGCTCACATGGTTACTGAAGGTGACGACAAACTTTATTTTACTACTACAAACCTTTACGAATTCAATAATTAGTTTTCAAGAAATAATGCAGCCCAAAATTAACATTTTGTTATTCATTTCCCACTCTCACGTTATTCAGTGCCTGTATGCTGTCACTTTATTTGCATAAAAAACTTTATGCAGCTTTTTAAAAATGCATAGAAACCCTCCATGTTGTCCAAATTTTTGTCTCATCCTATTATGAGTATATATGAGCACAACAAGGTTGATCCCCACAAGTGTGAGTGTGTGTTTATATATATATATATATAGTAGCATATATAGCAATAGTAGCATAATAATTAGTTGTCTCACATTTTTACCCTAAAAATACATCATTTTTCCATCAAAAATATTTGGACATTTTCAGGCCCATTTTTTACTTTTTTAATTATTATTATTATTATTTTTATAGTTGTTTAATTGTACATAAAAACATGTTGTAGGATTTATTTTTTGCTCAGAAATTGCTAGTCAATTTCACAAATAATTACAAAGTACCACATTGAAATAAATATGAAATTAAGAAGAAAGAGTGTAAATTATTTTTTGAAACTGTAAATAAAACAAAAATTAGTGGAGAGCGTTTTACAAGAAAATACTATTTCAGTCTCAATGTTAAATTCAAAAAAATTCTAAATGTTAATAAAAACTATAATAGTGTCTCAATGATACTAAAGTAACACTGAATGTAAATTATGCTGAAATTAAAATATTTATTTATTTGCACTATTTACTCAATATATTTGCACTAATAATGCACTATGTATGTGCAGTAGTAACAAAATGTATTTGCACCGTGTTGCACTAATAGTGCGCTATTTGCATTATATACTCAGTTTATGTGCACTATTTGCACTATTGACCCAGTTTATATGCACTATTTGCACTAATAATGCACTAATTAGTTATTTACACTAATAGCGCACTATGCACTCAGTTTGTTTGCACTTTTTGCACTGTTAACCCAGTTTATATTCACTATTTGCACGAACAGTGCATTATTTATGTGCACTATTTAATCAGTTATCTGCACTAATTTATGTGCAAAACCATTAGTGCACATAAATAACCAGTACATAACAATTGAAAGAAAATGTGATTTAATGGTATTTATTTATCCATTCATATTTATGTTTATATATTCATTATATTATATTTTTATATATGTGCATATATGTATTTAAAATAAACACATTTTATAATTATTTTAAAGTAATTGTATTGTAAATAAATTGTAAATTGCTAATCTAATAATCAAATACAACAATTAAAGTATATAATATTTAGAATAAACTATATATTGCATATACAGTAGACAGTTATATTAACTGCTATATACAAATCCTGTTATATAAAGCTTAAACCCAAAATATTGATGTCCGGTTTTACATACTCATAACTATGTATTAGTCTGTCTCTATAGCTAGTGATAGTATGTAAGTATATGTGTGCATGTGATGATTCGTATAGTGTCTGTCTCTGTGTGCAGCACATGTGTGAACGGCGCTGTGGTCTCGTCTCCCGTCCAGCTGCATCATGGGGATCGAATCCTCTGGGGAAACAACCACTTCTTCAGGTCAGTGAGACACATTTACGGGTGCTGGGTTTAATTGTGTTTCATTGATTTGATGTCCATTAAAATGGATTTGTTTAGTTAGATTAAAATCTTAAAGACACCATTTAATGTGTCCTCTTCTTAAACGACCCCTGAAAAAAGTGTCAAATTGACCCAAAGCCATGTGTGTGTGTGAGTGCCTTCTGACTGTACTATTCTCTTTGTGTTTCTCAGGATCAGCGTGTCGAACGCGTATCGTGTTGGTGTTGAGGATGAGGAGGGGTGTACGACGAAGGCCGGTCTTCCTGAGCATCTGGATGTGGATGTAGACCGTCTCAGTCACGCCTCCAGTGACAACAGCTTCAGTTTTGAGTCCGCACAGACAGAAGTCATGATGAAAGCGCTGGGAAACAACGGTAAGAGGCACGGCACAAAACAGACAACCTGTTACTGTCAATATAACCCCTTTTAAAGGGTGATTCTGGGCTGCTTTAAATATTACAAACTAATAAAAAAACACTTTGAGATCCAAGTGAAATTGAATGGTGCTACATTTAAATTGAATGGCAGTTGTACCAGTACTCTTCTGTAATGTTATAGTTGCATTACATTTTTAATCACCATACCTATTTTTGAGAGCATGTGTAAACAAAAATAACTAGTAATATTTGTCATATATAATGAAAAATGTATTCCTTTTTGTCTTGTTGCAATAAATAACATTATATATAGTTTTTCTGGCTTCTAAATGGATATAACAAAAATTAGAATTTTTTTTATTTTATTCTAGATTTTTTTATTTAATCTAGAAAGACTTTTTAGAGAGCATGTATAAACAAAGATATCCATTAATATATATTTTTTAATTGAATAACATCACATGTACCTTAAAATGTGTATCAAAGATTTTAGGCTTTTTTTATTTAATTTACATTTTTTGTAAACAAAAAATCCGCTAATATTTCTCATATATCATGATTTTTTATTTTTTTTTCATTAACATGAATAACATCACATAAAATGTGAATTCAGGCTTTTAAACAGATTTAACAAAAATGAGAAATTATTTATGGCATATTTTTTCCCCTTCTTTATTCTAGTATTTTTTTAGAGTTAGATGTTAGAAAGACTTTTTTTAGAGGGCCCATGTAAACAAAAATATCCACTAATATTTCTCATGTGTCATGGAATATGTCCCCCCCCCAGCATTTAAACATATTTAACGCTCAACACTTCCATCTTTATAGATATATGTGTTTGTGTGTGTTATGTAATTTGTATTAATTTCTAAAATAAAAGTAATCAAATTATATTTTAAAAAAATATATATTTTATATGGACAGTTTTTCCATTATATTTTGACACTAAAAGATTTATTAGATAAATAAATAAAACATATTTAAAGTATTTTAATTAAATGTGTATTCATCTGCATTTTGACCAACTTTTTTTTTTGTATGCAACTCTTTAATGCAAAGCATGGTTCAGGAGATATTATTTTACTGCACAAGAAGAGAAAGAATAAAAACCAAAACAACAAAAGCAATATATAAAAAACAACAGCGCTGGATGGGATCTTAATACACCAAGGAAGACAAAGTATTAACCAGCCAGTCTATTTGAAATCAGATATAGTTCAGAAA